CGGGCATTTAATGAGCGCGGGGAGGAGCCACGGACACGGACGCAGGAGCAGAGCAGTGTGTTAGTAATGCGCCGAGGAGCGTGGACGTGAGGCGTCCTCCCTGTGCAGCAACACGTACACCTGCAGGTGGGGAAACCCGGGATCCTGAGGGTGGCCGCTGCGCCTCTCTCTCTGTGTATTTATGGGGAAAGTCACGTGGGTCAATTGTGGGTCAACATGTATTGACCATTAATCCTGCCTCATCTCTCTTCATACAGGTGTGAGCATGAATCTCTGGGCTGAATGTTGTTTTTTTACAGTCAGATCTCTGGTATATGTTCAACAGTAAGAACACTACTCTGTGATCACTACAAGATCATGTATTTATTTATTTATGTGGTTATTTGGATCTTTTATTTCATTGTGATGTTATATGTTATAACATATTGTTCTTAGATTCTGTTCTACTTACTACGTACTACATCTACTTTATTTATGGTTTGTTTATGGTTTCTTCTCAATGGCCAGGTAATACAGGCTTTATGTAATACTGTGCTTGTATACTGATTTCACATACTCAGTCAGCAGTAATGTTATACTGCTTTCAATTCGACTTTTATGGAAGGCCTGAAACGCAATGATTATGTGTTTAGAGTATTTTAATCTTTGAAAACAGTTTTCTAAGTTTCAATTTTTTTCACCTGAAAAATCATTTTTCAATCATTTACATATGCTAAAAAAAAAAAGCATGTGAACTTAGAAAAATCATCATGAGAAAAAGAATGTCACATGCCTTTAAAGGTTTCCATAGACTTTTGTTTAGTGGTGTCACTTTACTTCTTCTAGAGGAATGATAGAAGTTTGCTATCAATTTAGGGAATTACTTATTCAGTGCTCAGTAATATCCTTTGATAATTTAACTCTCACATTATGAAAAGATGGCAGCATTTATAGCCTTACACAATACCAGGCACGCCTGATGGGATTGTAAAAGCCTTGTCTCACATGTTCAGTGGCAATGCAACAAATTACACTCTGACTGGATACTGTATATCAAGGCAATGCAATCTCCTTCAAGCCTACAGGTAAGTCCAGCTCTCTGTGGCTTCTGCCAGCAGGCACTGCAGAGACCCAGGACCCCAGGACCCAGGACTAATATACAACTGAAGATGTCAGTATTTAGATCTATGTAAAATTTCACTCCACTCATTCTGCAGAAAAATGGCCCCTGTGACTGATATAGTATAGTATTATATTTTACATGATTTGATTAATACTATTGCATCAATGCAGTTAAGAAGATCTTTACTGTTCCAGCTTGGCAAGAAGCAACTGGAGCAACTTTTAGCTGCTTTATTTAGTTTGGTAGTTTAATCCAGTGGTGGCCAAACTAGGGATCCAGGCCCTTCAAAGGGTCACCAGACAAATCTGTCGGGTCATAGGAGAGAAAACAAGAAAAAAACAAAGTTCTGCCACACGTATTTGTGTATTTTATTGGGACTAATTTCTAATCTTTGCTTTTGTTGTGAAATATTGGATAATTATTTAAAAGGCACCGATAAGTCTAGAGGGGAAATTTGGCAGAACAATGTCAATATCTGAAACAAGACTAAGGACTAGACACTGCTTTTTAGTATGGAGTCAAAAAGGTTAGATCTTCTTTAAGGCATTGTATTTATAAGATCATTATATTGTTTAAGTAAAATATTAATCTGAAACATAACCAGTAGCTATGTCTGCCAAAATAATGTATTGCAGTAAAATAGAATATTTCCCCCTGAAATGCAGTAGAAGTAGGAGCTGAAAGTAGCAGAAAATGAAAGAACTCAAGTACAAGTACCTCAAAACATTTGATTATGTATTAACTCACATCATCAATATACAGAAACAGAAAATTGAGGCATTCAATGAAATACACCCTCAGGTCTAAGATTGTGTGTTCGCTTGATGTGAGGTTTCTGCTGAAGTCATGATTTCCCAGAACTTTCTGAGTCACAACCCCAGTCCATGTCCTTGTCCCGTATCACTTTATCAAATTAGATATTATAGCCAGTCTCTGGCTGGAAAAATCTTTTGCACTTTGTATCTAATGCAGTTCATCCCAAAAAGTTGAACTGATAGCACATCTAGTGGGACCAGGCCAAAGAATCATAACTGCTTTTAGATGAAATCAGTCCTTGACACAAGGCTGCTGTTGAGAAATGTCAATATGTAACAATTTGGGACATCAGTGATGTAATCATGTAATTTTACATTATAATGTCAGCAGCTCACTAATATTCTTTATGTTTATGTTATTTATGCTTCAAATGGCTATTTTGGCATTGATTTTAATTTATATTTCAAACCTTTTCAAAGTGTGATCAGTTCAAATGTCTAGTTTTAGGTGCCGTCATGTCAGTTCCTTAATTATTTCTTCATGTGTAATGCAATGACTCAGTTAACCTCACCTGCTGACACATGCTACTTAGTGTTCCACATTCTTACATAATTCCTGTATAGCCTGCTGTATCTGTAGAGTAGATACCAAATTATCTGTAGATACCACTTTGTTATCATGCAAACTTCCTTTCTGTATTTGTTTTACTTGAGGACTTAATAAGTACTCATATTTTATTTGTCTTAATACAACTCTTCATTAGTTTCACCTCTGTGATTCCTAAAAAATTTCAAGCCACTGTTGTCATATACTGTATATATATAGCTGTATTGATGTCGGGGACCGGAACTTCATTTATGTTTTGTTTTCTTTCAAGAAAAAGCCAAGATAAGATATGACCCAAAGGAGTCAGTGAACACAACACCTTGAATCTTCTGTACTTTGACCAATGTCTTCAAAAATAAGTCAATAATGCTGTTATCCTGACCTCACTCACACCCACCCATCAGGAATCTGAGACCAAACAATTACGAACTGTTAGCAGCTTTGTCCATACAATGTAATCTACTGTATGTATACACTCTGCACAATAATAATATCATTAATATCATTATGTCTCCAAAACTCAAAGCCTGACCCATAATTTCCCATCAATTGTGTCATGTTAAGATTGCAGCTCTGCAGGAAATATAAAATGTACCCTCAATCTATAATATATTATCTTTTAATAATGATGAAATGTCACTATCAAGTACATGAATGCTTGATTTATTGATTTAATTATTTGTTTCCTTAATATTTGTCCTAATTTAGCTAAGGAGATTGCCAAAAAAAATAAAAAATAAAATATTGATCATGTGGTGAAACCACTGACAGATGTTTGTAATCAGTTTCTACAAACTGTTATATTTAATTTAATTAAATTAGCTAAAGTCATACCTATGAGGCTGGAGATAGACATGAATTCTCTAATTATTGACCCGTTTTTTTGTTGTCACAGTTCTGTAAAATATTGAAAAAAATATTGCATAAAAGACTAGATTGCTTTGTCAAAAAAACATAATATACTGTACGAACATGAATATGGTTTTAGAACTAATAGGACAACTTTGTTTGCAGTCATGGAATTTCTTGAGGAGATATCAACTGCAAATAAAGACTAGGGGGTATTCCTGGATCTTAAAAAAGCAATGGCTGATGGTTACTTTTTGGGTTCCCCAGGGCTCAGTGTTGGGCCTATTGTTGTTTATTTCATTCATAAATAATATATGTGAGGATTCCAAAATATTAGCATCAAATACAGATGCTTTGGCAGTCTATAGCATTTGTATTTGACGACCTTGGAGCATGAATACCACTTTTTTCCCCCCCATTTACCATAACCCAAAGCGTGCACTAGTTTACTGGTGACTAGTTGGTACTGGACAGGTGGTTTAAGATGCTTACAGGTGATGGGTGAAGGTAAAGAGTCACATTCATTCTCTGTCTGTAAACTTTTTAGCGCCTGTTTCTTTTATTTTTGAATATATAATTATTTGTCTCTTTTGGATCACAGTGCTGCTGTAAGTTTTTCTTTTACTCAGCATTTTTATCAGCCCAACACACACACACACAACTCTTGTCCAGAGAGTTATGAAAGGATTGGGGCATTGTCCAGTCTGCCAGTCATTTCATTTGGAAATATCAGAAGCCTGCCATCTCATATGTTTGCCAAAGTTCACAGACAGTCTTATCATTTTGTAATGCAATCCAAAATCAGACACTCAACCTTTAATGTGGAGTTTAGAACTAATAAAACAATAAATGTAACATAGATACGTGTTTATTGAGTTTAATTTGTTTCCAGCAGATTCATATCATGTCAAGTTCGATGGGAATGCATGACTTAGTCATCTTAGAAATTAAAATACATTTGAGAATGAAAATTTTAGTATTTGATCTGTCTCTTTACTAAGTTGTTTCACTGTGATGTTGATATTAAAGAAGTAGTTGACCAATTTGGGAAAATATACTTTTTCTTGACAAGAATTGAAAAGAGAAGATGAAACCACTCAAAATGATCTCTCGGTCTCAGCAAAAATATATTTTCCAAATTGTGTCCATAGTGGTAGAAGTAGTCAGATCCTTTATTTAAGTAAAAGTACCAGTACATTAAGGAAAAAAAAATCTTACAAAAAAAAAGTCCTGGATGCGAAATACTACGGTAAAAGTACATGTAAGCAAAGTACAGCAAAATATTAAATTATATTGATTATATCGATTGATATTGATATTAAATTATATGTGACATTATTAGATTATTAATGATGACTGATACATCAATATGTAAACACCATTTTCTGTTGTAGCTGGTTGAGGTGGAACTAGTTTTAAATTGGTTCACCAGATAAATCTGAGGATTTCTTTTTGGGGGAGTTTTCTAATTTTATTTGCCCTCAAATAGTTCAAGTTTAACTTTATGTGAGAAGTTTCGAGTGGAAATGTCAAACAACCCCAACTGCTTTCCTTGTAAGGGGTCACAAACAGAAATGTTTTGAACCACTGGAAACAAATTTAGGGAAGCAAAAAGTACAATAGGTCCCTTTGAAATATAGTGGATGTTGCAGGAGCATATTATAGAAACACAACAAAGAAAATTCAGTTGAGTGTTGAATATAAGATTTTTATTTTCCCTGTTTAAAGCAAAGAATACAGAATCCTGAAAAGATTGGTGTTTAAAAACAGTGTCTTAACTGTGTTGCAACCCAAATTCAACCTATGACTCCGTTTGAGAAAGTTTCAGGTCTTGCACAAAATCCAGAATCCCAGACAGATGCCACAACTGAGAAATTAAGAGAGGAAAACTCAACTTGCGTCGTTAGTGTTCCTTCTGAACTGTGTCCCACACAGCCCTGAGTAGTGACAGGTCACAGTATAAGGGTACATAAACTGTAAGCATTTCTATTGTGGTTGCGTTTCTCTCATACTGTACTCGAATCCTGTCTTGTATAAACAGATATGGCAATGTGTCTTGTTGCAGAACCAATAATTTTTTTTCTCTTTATTTAACAGGCCAGTTGAGAGCAAAGTCACAGTCAATCTAAGGGTACAATTATCTGAGCCTGCAGCACCAGACCTTTACAAATAAATAGCCATTCAAATCCATTCCATCGTCAGTCCACTTTAGACAAAGTTCAGGTGAGTGTCCTTGTCCACTCCATAGTTGCCTTTGTGCTCCTCAAACAGATTGCTGAGCTCATCCATGTACAGCTGGTGGAGGGCATCGAGTTGCTCGGCCGTTGGCTTCTTGTTCTTCTCCACCCGAACTGGCCGTCCAACTGCAGAGAGGTGACAAGGTGAAGGACGTCACGCTCAGAGTCAGTGCACTTTATGAATTGCAATATGGTCTGTTTGATTTTACTGTAGGTTTGTTGATCTAAAACATGATGACATTAGGGGCTGCATGCCAACCAGTACTAGAAAGCTAGAAAGTCACCCTTGCGTCAGACTGGGACATATCTCTGGCTTTGTCCTGATCTTTCTAACTCACCTTCACTGAAACTCCCCCTGCAAATTTGGTGAAATTAGATGCTTCTGCCAAAACACATGAGTATAGATGATGTAGCTCAGTTTATCAAGTCTAAAGTAGTGCATCCGTTAGAGTAGTTGATACAATTGCACAGAATCCACCGATTACATCAGTGAGTGCAGACAGAAGCTAACTGCACACTGTAGCCTGCTGATGTACTATACCACACTGACAGTGAAAGCAGTGTACTCACTGACTGTATTGATGGGTTTCCTGTAAGGCATGAGACCAAAGGAGTATTGGAAAATGCCACGCGCGTGGAAGAGAGGCAGGGAGATACCCATGATGCTCTGCAGCCGTTCCTGTATCCATCGAAGCCAGGTTCCTCTTCGGTTTTCCACTTGATCAAACACTTCATTCTCACCAAAGGAGAAGACTGGAACCAGATGAGCACTAAAATAAGATTTTTAATGAGAAAGTTGTTTTATTGATTAACTAATATTGTCTATGTGATTAAAATCTTTTTTCTTTCATTCTAAATTGATCTCATAACAGCCTATGTGCTTTTCCAGGAAATCCCATGTGAAGGAGTTGAATAAGCCTCTGTTTCAAGAGGCCACACCCAAGCTGCAAGAAACCTAAAATGAATAGACACAATCCTTTCAATAAGCCATAAGAGTTTGGAGAATTAGCTGTATTTAACAGCAAACTTTCCTCATTCCCCAAGGGCATTTTGCTCTTACCCCTGCTCCATTGCCATTTTGATGAAGCCTTTCTTCTTGGCCAAGAGTACATTGTATGTCCCAGGGTGGGCATCAAGGGCCTCCGGGGCCCCACCGACTGCTATTACAACAGCGTTACCACCACCTTGTCGGCAGAGCTGATACCTGGCGCTCTCTTTGTCCGAAGGAATCAGACCTGCAGTGTTTTAAAAGAAAATAAGAGAATGGATCAAAATGATGTAAAATGATCAAAATAAAATGGTCAAATAATATCTTAAATGCTATTAAAAAATATATATATTTATGATAACATAATAAATCTGGACTTAATATATGGGCAGTGTGAACGAGGATAATTCAAACATCTCTGGCCCACACCTGCACACATGATGTAGTCTCTGAAGAATGGGGCTCTGAACCAAAGGGGCAACATGAGCAGGTAGCTGGTGATTCCAGGAAACAGCTGCCTGAAGCCTGTAGCATAGGTGCAGAAGTTGGTAAAGGCCCCTGCCACCAGCACGCCGTGGGGATGGAACCCCAGGACGTAGTTGTGCCTGGGGTCCAGGTCGGCTGTCTTTACCAGCTGGGGGAAGAAAAGAAAAGAACCTTATCGTCTGCAGACAGTGTGTTGCCCCAGCTGGCTGCAGCCCAAACATGTGCCTCGATATCCCATTTCAACACTGTCTTTGACCCTCTGAACCCTCTCTCATCCCTCCTCTCCATGGCCTCTGCAAACTGTCGGAAAGCTTTTGGAGCCAGCCTACTTTCCCCTCATAACCCTGCAATACCTTTAGATCTGAAATGGACATTTAATCAACTAAGTAAATTTACTCAAGTGCTGTATTTAGCTACAAGTCTGAGGTACATATTATGTTACTTTATACTTCTACATTCAATTTCAGATATTTCAATATTGTACTTTTGACTGCACTACATCTATTTGACAGATATAGTCACTACTAGGGCCTCTTGTCATGTTTCACAGGTTCTGTTGTTGTTATACCATATCTATGTTCTGTAAATCTTCTTCAAAACCAGAGATATTGTGTTTTGTGTTCCATGCATTACTTTTCCTTGTCAAAACCTGCCACCTACATTACCCACAATGCAACTTGGCCACCAACAGTTCAGTCAAAGATTCAAACTTCTTTTTTTAATTTTCAAACTTGTAGTCTTCCGTGCCAACTGACACTCAAGTGACATCCCTAGAGGACCGATTTAAAGGTCCAGCTAGTAGGATTTAGTGGCATCTAGCGGTGTAGTTGCTGATTACAATGTCCTTGCCTCACCCTCTCATTCCAAGTGTGTAGGACAAACTACAGTGGCTGCGAAACTTGCAAAAAGCCCTTTCTAGAGCCAGTGTTTGGTTTGTCTGTTCTGGGCTACTGTAAAAACATGGCGGTTCAACCAAGCCCCCAGGAAGTGAGCCGGGCTTTGAGGCTAATTTGACAAAGTGGCCGAACAGTGTAATTATAGCAACGGCGTCCGTCACGTGATGCACAAATGACCTCTTACCATAAGATTACATTGTGAAAGAAGCAGCTGTGAAACAGTGTATACATTTTTAAGCCACAAAATGACTCGTTTCACTATTAGCATTTGATCCTTTCGGTCTGATAACATTTTGAAAGTCTAGAAGATTTGCCTGATTAAATCATTTATCCCCATTCAAGTTAACAAAGGGCTAAACCGGAAGTTAGCTGGCTCTGCCATGCATTCATTCATCATCTGAGTAATTTCTTTGCAGCAAGAAGTGGCTTTTTTGGCTTCATGCGTCACTGAGCAGCTTTCATAGGAAAAGAACTGAGCCTCCAATGCTGTATCCAGTTCTCTTCTCATCCACGGGTTCAACATGACGGGCCCCGTAGGAGAGGACCCACTCCCTCTGTAGATATAAACGATTCATTCTAAGGTAACAAAAACACAACAATTCATATTTTCAGGTGATAATACACTAATAAAAACATACCTATGAATATTATATTCCATTTCTGCTATTAGATCCTCCTAAATGTTACACATTGGACCTTTAACACAGCTCCCTCTGGAGCCACAAAAGGTTTTATTCAACTTTTTCCACATGTGCAATAGTACCCCAACACCTGGAAACAGACCTTAACATCTATTGAGTAATTGAGTAATATTTCTCCAAAGTGTTAGAAATAATGGTTCTTGGTCATCAACTGTAACAGACTAGATAGGATATCTCACCTGTGGAGCATTGTTTGCATGCCTCCACTAGCACAGAGCGGGTATGGAGGAGATAGTGAGAGGCACTAAGGGTCACTGTTGAGAGTGAAGAGTCACTTCTCATGTACTGGGGTTTGTTTTGCAGCGCGCAGCGAAAAAAAACAAATCCGCTCCTTTCACTGTTTGTATCTGTGTGTGAGATAAGTATTTCAAGGCCTCGCTGCTGTCAGGGCAACATTCACACCCACATTATCAGGGAGTCATGCTATCTTCTCAGGGACAATGAGGCTGCTTCAAACAGGGGATTTCATATACTTTGATTCTATTTTTACTTTGACTTTTTCTCATTCTTTTCCTTAGTTACCCTTTTTTTATTATCTAATAAAAGCAAAAATTAACCCAATACTAACCCAGTAGTGCTTTGACTAAACATTTTCTTGTACCTGATCACTTGTAGAATGTAAAAGAAAATCTGACTGAGCAGGTTTGTAATGTAGGAGTAAGTCATGATACTGGACCTTCACAAAGCTGCTGTGTTGTTTTGTGTCCAGTGTTTGTATGGTGGGGACCTGCTGCTGGTGGCCCCTGGCTCACAGTTAATCATTGGCTCGAGTTCCTCTAATGAGGACTGTAGCTGTTTATAAACAAAAGATCTGTCCACCAGCGACCAATCGCAGAGTCCTCCTCCGAGGTTGTCACCGCCACATAAGGTGAATCTTATCCATGTCAAGGACTTTGGCTTCAGTTAGATAAAATCTGGTGGACAAACAAGCCCAAGCAATACGTTTGGGTCTGAATCCAGATATAGATCCTACTGTACACTGTCATTTAGGGTTGGTTTTTTTTTCACTTTTTCCTCCTGAGGGCCATTTCTGGAAAAACATTATTTCACCTCAGCTCCTACAAATTTCATCCAGTTGTATACAAATGTATTTATTTATTTATTTTCTTCAATTCTAGCCTATATCAATTTCCTGTAATTGGCTGCCAAAAGGATCTACAATATGTGTGGTGTATTTAACATAAACTGCCATAGAAAATGCTTATTCACTTTCTTTCCTAGAGCTCCAGCCAACAGACCATTTTCATGTGGTTTCATTTTCATGGTCTGTTAGTTAGAGCCAGGAGATGGTTAGCCTGTAGCTTAGCATAAAGACTGGAGGGAGTGTCCAAAAGTTTTTTGAAAAACGCCACTTGTAAAGGTCATAAACTAACATCTTGTTAATCTATACAAAAAGTAAAGTAAGTAAAATCAGCAATTTGTGGACATAGTTTATGATTATTTCCTATTAAATTCAAGGCGTAACACAATATGTTTGTGTAATATGAGCGATTCTGAGCAGATTATTCCCTGTGAATATTGATCAGAGACAAGTTTTCATGATATTTTTATACAATTCTCTGTCTGTCCTGTGACATTTAAAAAAATGAACAATTAAATATGCTTTTAGGCTTCAGTTTCTCACAAGTTCAGTGTTTTCTTCTCCCTGATGCTTGCGTACTTTTCTAATACAGGAAAGCTTGTTTTCAGGTCTTCAGAGTTAATTAATTTCAATTAAAATGTATTTAAATAAAAATCTACAGTTTTAAATAAAAATCTAAACTTCCAAAATAACAATAAAATTAAATTAAATACATTTCCCATAAATATGAATAATATAATTCTGAGAATGAAGGCCTACTGTGTATATTTTAGTCCAATGTGCTGGACTATGCCTTGACCTAGAGCCAAGCTAGCTATTTCTTGTCTTTATGCTAATACAGTAGCTAACTCTCTTAACTTAATATTTAGCTCGAATCAATCTTCTTATTTAACTCTTGGTTAAAAAACAAAAAGTGCATTTTCAAAAATGTCAAAAATAAGTTAGGTAGCACAACAGCAACATGATACATTTATTCAGTAGTCCTGAGTCTGATACACTTAAAACTTTGTGGATTGTGGATTGTGGAGATTATGCTGTGTGAAGTACTGGCTGCCATCTGCCATTGAGAGAAATAGTTTGTCTCAACGAGTATTTTGCTGCAGATTGTGATGTATGACAGATGTATGCACTCTGCTAGTCCTTTAGTCACATATGCTCTCTGAACGTTTCGTGTCCTTCTCTTAAAAACCAAGTGAGAACACATCAGCTGGTGAGTTTTTGGTCTGAGCTGATGACGGTGTAATTAGAGACGGTGGGAAGAGACACACCAATGAAACTAATTAGGCTCTCTGGAGGACACTGCTTCTCTTTAGCCTTATATTGAATCTTTGTTTCAAACTTAATGCGGCATACAGTCAGATGATACTGGAAATTATTCCTTTTGAACATACCAGTATGTGAGATCAGGGGAAAACAGACAATTTTAGAAGATTTTATTCTGTGAAATGACTCTAGAGAAAAACAGCATTCTTAATTCTGATAGACATTCACACAGGATCTGTAATGAGAGACTCCGGTGTCAATAAAACAGAATATGAACACCTATCTGATGCAATTCATTGATTTCTTTAATCATTTTAATTAAATACTTTTGATTTATTTTTATTATTATTTAAAACTGTTACATCATTTTTAATTCAACTCATTTTATGTTACTGTTATTATGGTATTATAACTTCTGTACCTGTCTTCTCCTGACTTTTATTATTATATTGTTCTGTTTTTATACTCATACTGTAACTGCCTTATCGTGCCTGGTCTTGGCTTTTATCATTATTATTATCACTTTTATTGCTCATATATTTCCCACCTTGTTCTCTTCCCTCCCAGCATAGGTTATAGCTGGCTACGAAGCCATTTTTTAAATGTACATAAATAAAGTATAACAATGAAAGTAGTAACAGTAGGATTAATATTTCTGTTCAAAATCATTTACATTTCTGTATCTGTATTAAAATGTTCTCTCAGATGTTTTCTCTGCTGTAAAATGTAGATTATCAGAATCTGATTAGTTCAGATAGGTCAACTAAACAGGCTAATATGAACTACTGTGTTATAATTTATGGCTATGTTAATGTTAATTAATGTGAAATGAGACATGACTCACTCAATATTTAGACATAATAAATAAGTCTGAATATGGAGCAGGTTGTGACCTTGTTTTCTTCTTAAAAGCAAACTCAGTCTGTCTTCCCATACATGCAGAAAAAAGAGGATCTTATGTAGGTCTGTGACATGTAATACATGTCTGTATATGAATTATACAAGCATTTATAATATCAGAAAATAGATCTCTATTAAATATACAAAAACAAACGGTTTAAAGGTAATCTTTGAATAATGTATGCAGAGCTCTCTTTAAAACGCTGTTGAACTTGTGGAGTTGTTGTTGCACTCTGTTTTTATCAGTACAGTCCAAAGTATAGGTCTTGCTCAGGGGCAAGATGTAGATCCCTGTAATGTGGTGGATGTTTCCAACAGGGGTTCTGTTCCCTGAGAATTCTTCAGATGAGGTTCCCTCCAGTTATTTTCCATGGTTTGAAAAAATGGTACACCCAACATCAAGCACTAGTGTTGAATTTAATATATAATGCTGGGCTTTTGTGATTCAAAGCTGGTAATCTTTAATTTGCCTCAAGTCATATGTATGCACTACTAATGCATGACCACAAGAGGGACACTGCAGGCTGCAAGAGAAGCTTGTAGTGAACTGTCACTGCTTATGGGGACCAGGTCAAGATTAAAATGTCTGTAATGTCACATTAAAACCACGACTAACTTACTTAAGTGTGCCAGCGTCACTGAGCTTCAAATCCCCAAACCAATCCTCTGGATGGTTCTAAGGACAATGTGCGTTTGTGTAACCAGTAGTTGTTGTGTTCACTTGATTTATATGTTTTCTTCTCATTTTTGAGGCTGCAGTGGGAGTTTTTCAGCGTTTTGTACAGACATGGCTGTAACAAAGTGTTTATCCATTTTCAGTTGGAATAATAGCCTTCTGTATTTCAGCTATCAATGCCTCTGAACACTGAAATATTTCTGGTTTGCAGCGTCATCTGGCGAGCAGCCTGAGTAAATGTGTGAAAAATCACTAGAAAGACAATTACCTGCAACAAGATTAAAGGAATAGTTTGACATTTGCTTTCTTGCCAAGTTAATTGATTCCACTCTCATGTCTGTTAGTTAAATATGAAGCTGAAGCAAGGAGGTGGTTACCATATTATAGCCACGGTTCTCAACCTTTCTATCATTGAGTAAACTGACGACCCCTGACCAAGTAACATATTTTATGGATATTTCATATTATATTCAGTGCATAACAATAACACTACAGAACAACTGTACAATGAACCCAAATATTATTACTCCAGGAGGTTTATGTAAAATGAGCGATTTGGATGAATTGTGAGATTATTTTCTGTGAATGTCGCCTCAGAGATGAGTTATCCTGATATTTTTAGCAACTTTTTATAAAATTTTCTCTTCTGTATTATGTATTTTTTATTTTTTAACAATCATACATACTATCTAAACTTAAAGAAAAATACAATTTCAATTAGTTTTCTTCACAGAAATGAACGAAATGCTGAGATATAAGCCTACTGAGTTTTCTTACACCCTTTAAAATGAAGAAGGCCTTGTGAGGGGGGGGGCTTATAGCATAAAGACTGGAAACAGGGGGAAACAGCTTGACTGGGTCTGTCCAAAGGTAACAAAGTCTTTTTACCAGCACCTCTAAAGTTTAATAAATAACACATTACATCTTGTTTGTTTAAGCCACACTAAGTGGAAGAACACTACAGGGGGATTATGTGTGGGACTACTTCTTTGCCAGGAAGAGGAGGACTTTCTCGAGTTGCCTCGAAACCCTGAGGTTGCAAGGCACCTCTTGGAAGTTACTGCTCTCAGCCATGACACAGTCCAGCACATAACCCCCCATTAAACTGTAACAGAGCCAGGCTAGTTGTTTCCCCCTGCTTCCAGTCTTTATGCTAAGCTAAGCTAGCGGTCTCCTGGCTCCAGTTTCATATTTAACAGACTGATATGGGAGTGGTATCAATCTGCTTATCTAACTATCAGCAAGAAAGTGAATAAAGTGTCAAACCTATGATAAAAGTTTGTTTTTTAAATGAAAATCATCCACCTGTACTGTACCTGGCTCTGCATCTTGTGTTCACCATAATCCTTTTTGTCCTTAAGTATAGTATATAGAGTCCATTAGTTAGCACTAGTAAAATACTCAGAGACACGGCCTGCAGTACTTTGCTTAATCAAACAGCAATAGGATTAGGAGAGGCTATGTGTACATATACAGTACATGACTAAAGGGAACACAGGGACATCATCCATCAATGGTCCATTTACTGCCAAGGATAAAGATAAGGGCCACTGCTTGTATGTAGCTGGAGATCACAGATTAGATCAAATGAACTGGTTGAGCCAGATGTCCTGATGTCCTATTCTCTGCCCTGTGGAGGTAAATCCCACCCCCAGCCTACATGGACTTTAGGGCTTCTTAATGGTTGTGATGTGCACATACAGTATACATATTGTTTGGAATGAAGGCCAACAACTGTCTACAAGTTGCCTCTCACCTTGATGGGGAAGTAATCCCGCATGTATTCCCAAAGTTTGAGGCCACACAAGAATGGCACCCTACGGCCTCCCCGGGAAGGAGTGTCATAGTCAAAGAACCACCAGACAGAGTACAGCACGCTGATCAGCCAGAAGCGTGTGAACAGCAGGTAAAAGAACAGGAAGATGCAGAGGGGTGCTGAGGAGAGAGAGAGAGTTAGTGTAGTGAGCAACTGTTTTGGAGCAGCAAGAATATATTGTAAATACATTATATAACCATCCATTATGATCTGGCATAACAAATGTGAAACACGCTACATGAATGGTTACTACAAGATCATTTGTTTGGCTGGAATTAGCCATTTTATGAATGGTGGGTGTCTGCTCTGCATCAGTAGCATTCATTTCTGCTGGAGAAGATATCATAAGTGGCTGTTGAGGTTAGTGTTAGCAGAGCCATGCTGTGAGAGAAGGTGCTTGTTTGATGTCAATACAATTTTACATTTCAGCATGATGTGACGGTTTTCATTTTTAGCCTGCACAGTCATCAGTTCAGTCGAACTTCCTTTTAAAACCAACACCACATCTATACCTTTAAACAGTCAGTGCTATCAGGTAACAGCCTGGATGCCAGTGATGAAATTAGCTGCAAGTCTGTGTGCTCAAAAATGAAAGTGTTTCTGTTATAAAATGGGCTTGAGTCAGGAGGTTGAGCTGAGCATCACAGCAGGAGATATGACTGCTGCCCAGTGTCACTTTCACTCATGATTTTCTTAAAGGCCTCAGATGATTTAAAAAATCAAAAACAGCAATACCACTGGCAACGATTACTAACCAGGGTGGTACTTACACCGCGGTTCTGTTCCCTGAGAATTCTTCAGATGAGGTTCCCTCCAGTTATTTTCCATGGTTTGGAAAAAATGGTACACCCAACATCAAGCACTAGTGTTGAATTTAATATATAATGCTGGGCTTTTGTGATTCAAAGCTGGTAATCTTTAATTTGCCTCATGTCATATGTATGCACTACTAATGCATGACCACAAGAGGGACACTGCAGGCTGCAAGAGAAGCTTGTAGTGAACTGTCACTGCTTATGGGGACCAGGTCAAGATTAAAATGTCTGTAATGTCACATTAAAACCACGACTAACTTACTTAAGTGTGCCAGTGTCACTGAGCTTCAAATCCCCAAACCAATCCTCTGGATGGTTCTAAGGACAATGTGCGTTTGTGTAACCAGTAGTTGTTGTGTTCACTTGATTTATATGTTTTCTTCTCATTTTTGAGGCTGCAGTGGGAGTTTTTCAGCGTTTTGTACAGACATGGCTGTAACAAAGTGTTTATCCATTTTCAGTTGGAATAATAGCCTTCTGTATTTCAGCTATCAATGCCTCTGAACACTGAAATATTTCTGGTTTGCAGCGTCATCTGGCGAGCAGCCTGAGTAAATGTGTGAAAAATCACTAGAAAGACAATTACCTGCAACAAGATTAAAGGAATAGTTTGACATTTGCTTTCTTGCCAAGTTAATTGATTCCACTCTCATGTCTGTTAGTTAAATATGAAGCTGAAGCAAGGAGGTGGTTACCATATAGCTTATAGCCACGGTTCTCAACCCTTCTATCATTGAGTAAACTGACCCTGACCCTGACCAAGTAACATATTTTATGGATATTTCATATTATATTCAGTGCATAACAATAACACTACAGAACAACTGTACAATGAACCCAAATATTATTACTCCAGGAAGTTTATGTAAAATGAGCGATTTGGATGAATTTTGAGATTATTTCCATGTCGCCTCAGAGATGAGTTTGAGGGGGGCAATTGAGGGGGCAATTAGGATTTTAAGAAATATAGCCCTATATTTGTGTTTAGGTAGGAATTAACAAAAAAAAATAGGTAAACTGTGTAAATATTATATGCATACCTAATAAAGACCTTCCGTCTTTAGACACACGTTGTGAATTCAAATTGTTGCTGCAGAATACTGGGTGCTCTTTCTTCTTACAGTTGTTTTAGGTTGAAATGTTATTCATGGTTTTATAATTGCTCTGCATTATTCATCTGAATTGGTGGTATATTTGTATTTGATGTTGTGTGTCTCTAACTCAGTGCTATTTCTGCCCACATTGGCCAGGATAAAGATTTTGTTTTTACTCAGTGAGCCTTTTCTAGCTAAACAATGGTTATATACAAAAAAAATGGTGTGAGGCTGATATTTATTATCACAATCATCAATAAACTACCAACTATGACAAGCTGGCTACACAGGACACACCTCCCACCAGCTCCAGTCAGTAGTAGCGCATGAACACCTCTTGCTGTCATTGAGACTTCTTTTGAAAGTAGTCCGCAAAGCAAAGCAAAGAGAGGGTGAAATAAATAGATACTAATCTAAATAGAACATGAAAAACTCCAGGATCACTATAAAAAGAAGTATTCCAACAATATCCACTTTTATATAATTAACAGAGGAAAAGAACATCCAATTGCAAATCAATAACATGACAGGGCTGTGAGAGAATAACTGATAACATCTGTCATCCAGAGCTAAACCAATGCAGTCAAAGGACAAATTCATTTGGATCTACACATATGAAATAGCAACTGTTTTTAAAAATATCCAATGCAGCCTGAGGTCAGCGGAGAGGACAAGCTCTGTGTGCAGGACTGGACTGCACTCAGGTCATGTCCTAGTTGGCTCCCCCTTCTGGTTAACCAGCACTTTATGTCACTTATGACAGCAGTTCTTTACATTTCATATTCTTACACTTTACCCAGGAGCAGCTAGACCAACAATGTTTGATCACTACATTAAAGAAACTTCATGACTTCATGAACAGTACCGTCCCATTAATACTCCATCATTTACAGATGTTTCCAGTTTCCACATATTAACATGCAGACTCACCCAGGGCAATGAAGGAGAAGACCCACTGCGCCACCGCCGCCGTCTGCAGTCTCCTGTGCAGGGGCAGATTCCGGGGTGCAAAATCTATCTTCATGACTTCCACAAGAGAAGAGAGACAAACCGAGGAGGTGTAGCCGGTAGCGGAGGAGAAGAGTGAGTGAAGTGGGTCCAAAGTCTGTCCTTCTCACCTCTCCACCATCACCTCCTACTGACAGTCTTATCTCAGGAACTCAATATAGGGTTTGATTTGCCAATCCATATCTACCACATCTGACTTTTGACCCTGCAAGGAAGAATCTGCTAAGAACCATAGCAGAGCATTCAAACCAGTAGGTTAGTGGAAGGGGGGAATGGCAAATGCCTTTTTATGTTGCTTTTACTGTGTCTTTTTTTCTACTTTCTGCACTGCATGGAAGGCAGTCAGTGGTTAAGATGACTGCGTAATATTTTGGTCTGAAATGTTGTAAAGGCAGCCTCATCGGGTTGAGCAACCACGTAACTGCAACTCAGGGACAAACAGTGATAAAGGTCCTTTTTGTAGAGCTATGACACAATTCTTATCACAAACCATCATTATCAGTGCAGTAGGAAATGATTTCATTACTGATTTTTAAAGTCCCCCTTCCACTCAGAAATCTTATTTTCTTCTTGTTCCTACAGTGTGCGGTTTGAATACTGTCTGCGCAGAGTTTTACACTAGAAGGATGTTTTCACATTCATCTGCTGAAAGTGAAAAGTTTCTCTGTACTCACTGAAAATCAGATTTTAAGGGGCGGGGCCTACCAGCATGATTTGTGATGTCACAAATAGTTAGGAAGTCAGTCCTGGTCCAATATTCAACTTGTACAGTGTAATGTAGAAACTTGAAGCCACCAGTGCACATCCACTGAGAATGGACTTTACAGTGAAGTAGGAGACATCTTGTGTCCAGCAGCAAAACATTTGAAATGACATTTTTTTCAATGAGATAGAAGGTTTTTTGTATCAGCCACACACTATTGTTCAAGGCAGACTGTTGGCTGAAAGGTTATCCGAGGTGTTGATGAAGAAAAGAAAAGATAACAGGAGATAGTGGGGGAGCCATCCATACCTTGCACACTCAGAGGAATGTAAAACCTTGCATATTGTCCCTTTCTCTGTCTCCTTAATCGTTTAATCTCTTTCTCTCATTAACCTCTGTTAGATTGACATTTGTCAGGGCCAATAAGTAGGCTTGCAATCCCATTTTGTTTTGCCCTTTGATTACATCTTCATAAATTATTGATCTATTCAGGGATTATCTGTGTTGATCACCTCATTAACACTTTGATCTTGAATACTCTGTCATTAAATGTTTTAGCTGCACTCACTGACAAAAAGGCAAATGCAGTTAAATAAGATACAACAATAAAAATGTATAACAAAAGAAAAACATAATGCGTGAGAGTGATTATTGCTTCTAAGAATGAGCTGCCAGCTTTTATTATAAAAACTAACTCTATTTGGATAATGTGCTTGTAATTCAGATGTCTTAGACGCTGTAGTCCAATGTGAAAACAGGCCCTCAGGGTGTGTAATGAGTTGGCATTATTCATGTTTTCTGGCACAGTCTGCAAATAATGGATATTCTTTAGTCACAAAGGATATTTTGCATGAATCAGTAGCCTTTTATGGCTTTGATAAGCTATGTTTTATGTAGTTTAAATAAAGTTACTATTATACTTCATAACTTACAACCATAATTATTACATATATTAGCCAATAGTAAATGGAAATGTTTTCTTATTCATCTGGTATCAGAATATTCCTTTAGCTATCATGCTTAAATAGGCTACATTTATTTAACTTTTATTTTGTGTACATTAGAGAAGAATGTTTCTCATTTTCGATCACCAAATGTTCACAAACATCAAAATGATGAAACAGAAGCCAAGTGATGGTTGGACCAAACGTCCCTCCTCCTGTACCTCTACGCAGTGTGCGTAAAAACACATCATCAAGCTCTTAGTGTTTATAAGCCTTATATCGGAAATTGATGTTTAACTTTCAAAATAAAAGCCCTAATTGAGTGTCTGTGGCTAAGGACATGCGCACCGGAATTGCTTTGATATTCTCTCTGACTTGATTTTTATTTTCCTCCTCGGCGGCTTCAACTCTGTGTCTCCGGGATGCTGAGCAGGCGGGCGGGGCAGTTTTTCCTAGCAGAGCCCTGCCGTGGAGTGATGTAGCAGGACGTACGGGACAGAGCGGGCACCGAGGGAAGCACAGCAAACGTCAGTACGCTTGTTTTTATCAAACTTGTTAAAAATTCTGTGTATTTTAGAAGCACAATGGATTTATTTAATAACCAAATCTAACGTCAACAGTATTGGAGCCATCCGTGCAGCGTGACACACGGACATCTTGTTTCTCTCACATCAGGACACCGGAGTGTACAGACCTATTTTTGTTCGTTTTGGACCCGGTGCCGATTGAATTGTAGTGGAGCTCTGTAAAGCTCACCATGGCGTGGCCCTGTATCAGCCGGGCGTGCTGCATGGCCCGCTTCTGGAACCAGCTGGACAAGGCTGACATTGCGGTGCCTTTGGTCTTCACCAAGTACACGGACGCCTCTGAGATGCAGCACATCCAGCTGCAGCCGCCGCTCCACCCTTCCCAGGCCCGGGTCGCCATAGAAACGCAGCCGTCTCGCGCAGAAACCCGCACCCAGACGGCGGCACGCGCGCCGCGAAGGTGCGTCTCCGAGGAGCGCGTGTGCAGCTCGGTGATGCGCGAGGACTTTAAGCACTGGAAAGTGAGACCCGAACCGAGCTGTAAACCCAAGAACGAGTACCACGGACCGGAAACACCGTTCAACAGCGAGACCCAGTACCAGAAGGACTACAAGCCCTGGCCTATCCCGAAAAGGTACGACCACCCCTGGATACCAAAACCGCAGTCAACCGACGACCGGGCACCGGACAGGTCCAGGCACGCGAAACAGCACCTGGCGTCGGCGGATGCGGACAGCGGTGTGGAGAAGAGTGCTATAGCCGACAAGGTGCAGGAGAAAGACCTCCTCCAGGGCCAGGAGAGGAAAAAGAAGTCCAGTAAACAGGAGGGGGTGAAGAAAGTTGTCCTGAAGGTGGAAGGAGAGGGCAAAGGGAGGGCGGCGGCGGATGCGGTGAACAGACAGATCAAAGAGGAGATCGCAGGCGGCAGCTCGTACAAGTGAGTGTACACACTAACTGTCATGGTGCACTGCCAGAGTCCTCAGGCGACCGTGAAGGGTCACAGGGGTCAAAACTGAGATTGTGCTGGAGGATGTAGCAGAAATAGATACTTACTGCCTGTATATATACTTTACTATAATAATAATAATCCTTTATTAAGACATAAAAGACTTTTTTACACACTATAAATGCCCATCGACCAATGAATCTGCTGTCAGGTGAAAATGTTTAGGGACTGTACAATTGCAGTCTGTATTGCGGTGGGGAGGGAGTAACAATATTCATTTTTCACGTTTTAAAAATAAAGCCCACCCAGCATTATTTTTTTGGACCCTCCCCTTGACTAGGAGAACAACTGCAACGCCCTCCCAATATTTTAAAGCAATATAACTCTGAAATTTACACAATTATTTTTTTCATTAATAAACAACTGCACAAATCATAATCACTTTTATACACATACAAGGAATGTGACTCCGCTTTTATGTTGCTCTCAATGTACATCCACAGACCAGCATAAATAAACAGGTTAACAAGCTCAACAAAATAGACCTAAACTACCATGTTCATATATATATACATACATATATAATCATAAACAACAACCGTAACATTTGTAGGCAGTAAGACAATAGTGATGCTGGAAAAAATATTTGTGTATAGCCTACATGCTGTAGGTGGGTATGTCATTACAGTATGCACGGCATACACAGATGTGTTTTTAATGATGTTATGTTTTTCAAAAGAAACCTGAATGTCAGCAGTGAAAGTAAATAATTTACAGGTACAGTGAATGTTTGAGTCAGATAATTTAAGATTTATGATTGCACTCAGTTTGTCTCTAAATTTATTTAACGTACAGTATGTAATTATCTGCTGTTAGAGGGTCTCTCACATCAAAACAATAACAAAACAAAAACAGTTTGATGACATTGTGAAGTCATGTGGCATTATGGGAGTTGTTATCTCCATTGTTGAACAACCAGTGCTGGTGAAAATCTATCTGACATGACTCAGGCAGAAATTGTGGTTACGTATTAAAGTTTTATTCACCTTACATTGGTCACGTTCGCCGACTTCTTTTCCTCACCCTCTGATGTATCCAACTTCTCCGCATTTACCCTGAAATTATAGCAACTAGAGGCAAGTAGGAAATGCACCATGAAATGAATGAATACATTAAAATGATGAATTCCTCTGGGTTTGAACACTGTTGGAAACTCAACAAAATATATAACATTTATAGACATTTTAATGCGGAAATGTTACATGTTTATCTTTATTATATTATTAGGGACAGAGCACTAAAAAGTGCAAGGACCCTTTTGTTCTTCTAGGAATTATTATTAGGGATCGAGCACTGAAAGTGCAAGACCCTATTGTTCCTCTAGGAATTATTAGGGACCGAGCACTAACAAGTGCAAGGACCCTATTGTTCCTCTAGGAATTATTATTATACCTCTGGGACTTCGACCGCATATTTGGCCCCTGCAACATCCTCAAAATGGCATGAAAATTTGCACAAAATTCAAACGTAGCTAAAATACCGATATGACATTGTCCCCGTGCACGGGCGCCGCCAAACGTCTAAGCCACGCCCCCCCGAATCAGCCCCCAAGACACGTAAGGCCCACATGTACGAAAATTGCTACGCATGTGTATCATGATAAAAGAAGCAGAAAAGCCTCTTGGACCCATGCCCCAACCCCCACAGGAAGTCTGCAATTTCAGTTTTTAATTTTCATCATTTTGTGGTCATTTTGACTTTTTGGGCTTGTATTTGAACGAACTCCTCCGAGGGAATTTATCGGATCTGCTTCAAAATTGGTCAATACAGTCACAAAATGGTACTGAATGAACACTGTTCATTTTCTGACTGTACATTGAAGGGCGTGACCGTGGCGTGCCGTCAAAGTTGGCCATTTTGAACGAATGTCACACTGTGATGTCATTTTTGGCATTTCAGGGCTTCTATTTTAACTAACTCCTACTACACGTTTTATTGGATCTACTTCAAAATTGGTCAGTACAGTCAAAAAATGGTGCTGAATGAACGCTGTTCATGTTTTGTCATTCAGTCAGTTTTTTTCGTCCAACATTGTGCCCGTGGCGTGGCGTCCCGTGGCATCCAATTTCAAACCTTCACCATGAAAGAGGGATTCGTCATAACTTCTGCGTACATGATCCGACTGCAACTAAACTTGACATGTTCGATAAGAGTCCCGCCCTGAACATGTCTATGTGATAATATTCAGTAATAGTCAGAGCGCCACCTAGTGGCAACAGGAAGTATCACGTTTTATACTTTCATGTTCTACTCCTAGCAGGATGATCAGACCCAGCTGAAATTTACTTATGAAATGCAAAACACATTGTTGATTATATGTGATGACTGCGGTGAGGGGGCGTGTCTGTAGCGTGGCGGGAAATTTTGATGTACCGCCACAAAACACGAATTTGCTATAACTTGAGTGTACATTGTCCAATCGGCTCCAAACTTAACATGTCTGATAAGAGTCCCGCCCTGAACACATCTACATGACAATATTTAGACATAGTGATAGCGCCACCTACTGGCAACAGGAAGTAAGTGCTGCGTGGCTATTTTGAGCTGATTTACGTGAGATTTTCATGTCGTAGTCCGCACGTGTTACATGGCACGTGACGTGGCCGCAGCACGCCCCGAGTTGCGTGGAGTGCGAGGTCCCGTCCATCGCTGCTTGCAGCTTTAATTATTATTATAATTTTGATATAGCCACCGACTTGCACAGTAAAAATGAAATTGTCAATTGTCAAAATGATTGCAAACTTAAGAGATCCTGGTTACCAGATATTCCAGCCATTCTTTAGTTTTGAGCCAAGAGACATTGTTAATTTTTTTATTACTTGTTTTGGATGTTGTTAGGATGCAGAAATAGCACCCAAAAACTCTCCCTTCAGCAAAAAGGAAAAATGCCTAACCTTTCCTTTTTCTAAACCCCCTTCACCCCGGATTTCCTGGCCTTGCCTGGGAGAAAATCTTAAAAAATGGAGGTCCATTAGAAGATAAAAGCTAGGTTGTTTCTAGATGTTGCATTGCTGACCTGAGAAATGTGACTTTTTCCACAATTCTGACTTATCTAGGGGTGACTAATTTATCACTTATTCTTAGGAAAACAGTTGTTTCACAAACTAAATGAAAGCCTGTGTTCTTGAAACAAGCGACTCAGAGGTACACACAGCATGTGGAAATGTTACAGAGCAGTCAGGTTTTCCCTACAGACACACAAATATATGAAAAGGTCAGTGTGGAGCTGTAGTCAAACACTGCTGATGTTTAGGTCTGCAGGGCTAATCTTTGTCCTATTATGCAACGTTCCGGAGGATGATGGGGACTGGTGGACGGATGAGCATTAAGTCACGCACGTCACAGTCACTGTGCGCATGTCTCTTGAAGCTGTGCATTGATGTTATTGGTTGCATTCAGGTTCTGGCAAGGCTGTAGGTTGTGTGAGTGTGAGATGATGTGATATATGTGATCCATTTTGCACCCGAGCCTTGATGTCTGTGTTGTTTTAGCTTTTTTCAGGTTTTTAGTGGATTTTTAGGGTTTTAGGAGCACTGGATGTTTTATTCTCTGTCTTATCTTAAAGAGGCATATCTCAGCAGCATTTATATTGAATACAATAAATAAAACATTTTATTTGATACACATAAAAGGATGCACATTAGTATATTATGGCTCATTGTTGTCAGTGTGCAGATTTGAGTTGATACGGGAACCCTAGCTGAAGTATGACACAGCTATCAGAGGTGAACTGTGGTATCAGTGAGTGAGTCTTACAGCTGTTTGGTGCTTGCTGCCGTCCCGAGGTTGTAGAGCAGTCAGCAGGGTGCAGCCCAGGGCACTTTCCCTCCACATGGCATGAAATGGCAGAAGCCCAGTCAACCCTCTGTCTTCCTCTGCAAGCAGAGACTAAAAGCAGGTCAACTGTGGGTTAATATAATGGACAATGTAGACACAGTGTGTGCGCGCACACACACAATAGAATATACATATAAAAACATGCACCCAAAAATACATTTGTGTCAAATTATGTTTTAGCTTTCTTGATATCATTATAATGAGATTATAGTGACAGTAACTAAATGATAATATTGGATTATTTCCCAGCACTACACTAAATTACACAACAGAGATGAATGAGTACTGCTGTGGCACAGAAACAAGGACCATTTATCACCAAAAATGTCATCAGAGTGGAAAAAGAATTGGCCTAAATATGTTGTCAAGCCCATGCACTGATGTCAGCATTACAGTTATTGTAGTTGTTTGCTTGGCATCAAGCATTTGACCCACTGACAGCAGGAGGAAGATCAGTCCTGATCAGGTATCTTCCCCCTGGTTTATGCTCATACTACCAATAACCTGAAGACAGCATAACAGCAGAAAGGTTTCTGTTTTAGAAGAAATTGTTAATAAATAATGAAGTACATTTACACTAAGTAAATACACTAAGAATAATGCCGATATAAGCTCATTGCAGATCAGTGTCAGAAAACAAGCAACAAAAAATTGCAATACGGAAATGCCAAAGATATGTTTTTTCATAGCGAAAAACGCCCCTATCTACAGCCAGTGTATGGTTTGTCCCTTCTGGGCTACTGTAGAAATGTGGCAGTGCAACATGGCTCCACGGAAGGTGACCCGCAGCATCTGTAGATAAAAACAGCTCAGTCTAAGGTAACAAAAACAACTCCTATATTATTAATAATAATAATAATAATAATAGACTAATGAAACATACCTATGAATATTATATTGAATTTCTGCCAATAGATCCTCCTCAATGTTACACACTGGACCTTTCAAAGTTTTAAAAAATAAGGAGGTTCTGTGCTCTTTTTATACTAGCAAGTATTTTTGTACATTAAGCATTTTTTAGGTGATCGCTTCACATTCATTTTAGACCAGCTAGCAGGTGGCTCCTGTAGTCGTTGAGCATTATTGACAGACAG